ATATATATACACATACATATATAGAGGATTGCCTTAAGGGTTTCTTTTTGGTATCCTTTAAAGGGTCCCCTTCCTTTTCGGGATCCTGTTAAGGATTCCCCTTAGGGTGCCCCTTAAACCTCCGTCCGGGCTGCGCCGGCGGAGGCCGGGCTGGTGGTCGTCACGCCGCTGCCCGAGGCCTGTTTTTTTGGCGGTGATTGGTATCACGTCAATCGGAAGGGGGAAAGGTGGGGGGTATTGAAAGAGTTAGGGTTTAGGGTGCAGGCTTTGGGTTTAGGGGTTTGGAAGGGTTTTTTTTCTATGAGGACTCTGTCAAGGGTCTTGTTGAAAGAGTTGTAAGCTGATTATACAACGTGTTTGTTTGGGGCGTTCACAACACTAGGGATGCTCTTTTTGTGAAGGGGTGGGGTCCTTATAATATTCAAGATTACCATGTTGAATCAATATCAAGGTGCACAGCCCAAGGAACTTCTCTTGTTCCCGGGGCCCCCCGGCCCTGAGCTTCCGATCCAGTATGAATACCAATACCATTGGTGAAACGAAGCCCAAATTTACTCATACTCATACTATTGCGGATCCTGATACTCACACATATTGCCATAGTGCTTTTAACTATAATTATGACAAATACTAGAAACCTTACTCTTACTTTAACTCGTACTTTCGCTATTGCGTTTATGATTCTGGCTATGGTTCTGATTCTTATCATGATTATGAACAGGATCACGTCGGCCTTGGGTGCCGACGCGCCAGTCACCAGCGCAGCGGCTTGGGACTTTGGGGCCTCGCCGTGGGCTCACCAGGGGGCCTTGGAGGGGTTGAAATACTGATAATATTGACAATAGTAGTAGTAATGATGATAATAATAGTAATGACAACAACACTAGTACTACTAGTGATAATAAGAATACTAGTAGTAAGTTTTGAGGATTTGGGGGTTTAGGGTTTTGGGAGTTGTATTGTCTAGGGTCCAGGGCTTCAGGGTGTCGGGGTTTTGGGCTTGGGCTTTGAGGCTTTAGGCTAAAGGCCTTAAGGCTCTAAGCTCTCGGGTTTGTGGCTTTTGGGGTTCGGAGGGTGGCGGGGTTTGGGGGTCACAGGGCTACGGATTGGCTTCGGGTTTGGTCGCAGAGCTCATTCAGACTAGGATAACAGTAGCCGAACTCCTAAACCCCAAAACCCCAAAACCCAAACCCCGAAGATCCCCTAAACACCAAAACCCTGAGATCCCAAAAAGTGACCGAACTCTCGGACCCCAGCGCAACACCGACATCCCGAGGCCTGGACCTTGTGAGGCCCAAGGGTAGCGCAAAGGAATGTTAGGGTTTAGGGTTTAAGGTTTAGGGATAGTACTTATAACACCAATTCAGGTACTTCTAGCCCTAGTTACTCACTGGCCTGAGTCTTTGAAGTGCTTTCAACAAGGCAGGAACCTGCAAGTCCGGCTTTCCTAAAGTTGTCGACCCAACCCCTCGACATGGTCATCAACCCTTTAACCCCAACTCCATGCCATGACCTCTACAGCCCCACAACACCCATGACGCCCTAGCAAACCCACTTAAACCTCTACAACAAAACACTGCAACGCCTTCATTAACACAAAAAGAAGCAGCTACGTGGGACTCTCGCCCCCCCCCCCCCCCCCGAAACCCCCAGACCAAAATATCGTCATGTTTCGGCCCATCGGCTTCCCTGCAAGTCACCCTATCGAAACCTACATACAACCCCACAAATCCCCCCTAATTAAAACGGCAGGGAATCGGTGGAGCTTCCTTGAAAGTCGGCGCCTGCG